GAACTCAGTGGCATTTGCTGTCAGGTAAACATGTATAGAAGTCAGCATTGCAGTTTTAGTTGATTGCTTATGGCGTAGCTACTGACCAGGGATGGGAGGCATCTCTTGCAATGGGCTAGTTGATTTCAGGGTCAACAGACTTTGATTCTAATGGTTCTGCTTGGCCCTGTCTTGTGAAAGCTTTCTCCTCTGCCACCTCTATTGCTCTGGGTCAGGTTTTGTCCTTTGGGTTGTTTGGAAGACATGGAGATTGGCAGAAAACAGAATCAGTCACAGGGAACGGTGGGGATTTAGTTGGTATAATTGGATTCAGGCTGGTCTGGAATAAAAAGGAAAGTTGTAGCAGTTAGTATGTTCAGTGATAGTGAGGTGGAGAATTCTGTCAGAATTTTCAAGGAACTATTAGAGATGCTGACTCTCAGGTTAGGTTCAGTACATCGGATAGCTCCTTTAACATTTAAAATAAACCCAAAGCAGATTTGCCACTCCACTGATATTGGAGCCCTTGGCTGTCAAAACTCAGAGGTGGGTTTCCAGCCCCTAGAAGTCCTCCCTCAGTAGATTTTGTTTTGTTTTGTTTTGTTTTGTTTTAACATTTTCCTTCTTATCTTTCCTGTTGAAAGCATGATACCTTGGATATTTTCCTCTGTATCTTTCCTAATGGAAAGTATATGGAGAGGGAATATCAGGCTCTCTCTGGTGGTTAAAAGACTCTGGTTGAAGAAAAGTATATCTGGCAAATCCAGTGTTTGCCCAATGTTTGCTCACTCTCATAATGGCCAGCTGCTATCCTCAGCTAATTCAGATTGAGCAGTACTAGGACAAGAAAAAATGAACTCACCTTAGTCAATTGTCCCTCTCCCACTAACTCCCCTGGCCTCTTTTTATCCCATGGCACAAAATAGAAAAGTTCAATACATGATGGAAGGAAGGAATGGAATTCTATCCTAGCTTATCTTAAAACTTACCTAGAGACGAATGGGTGTTCTTCCAAGTCTTATTATAACTTTAGTGGAGCAATTGCTAAGGTTCAAATTTGAAAGTGAACATTAGTAGCCTATGTAGGGGAAACTTATATCTCACATCTATTTAGATTTGCACTATCCAGCCAGGAAGTAGGACATCTCAGTCCTACTGAGCCAATGGGACTACTGGCATTATACTGCAGCCCTCAAGGTGCTGGCCAAATTCCCTTGTTTTTGGAGTCCTTCAGAAGCAGCATGATCAGGGGTCTTGCCAAGCATCTGGTGGGCCACATTCCATAGCTAGTGGACTGCATAACTGTTAATGGGTCACAGGTTGATGGTGAGAAAAGTCCTTGTCCATGGTGTTCACACTCATCTCATTCTCTTAGACTCTACAGCTTTTTATAGTATAGTATATACTAATGTGAAGGATGTGGTGACTTAGTGCTTAAGATGCCAATTCTGTCAATTAGAAGACTGGAAGATTGTCAGTTCAAGGCCTGAGTGCTGCATGATGGAGTGAGCTCCTGTCACTAGTCCCATCTTCTGCCAACCTGGCAGTTTGAAAGTATGCTGACAGAGGCCACTTCCTTATTGACCATGTGAGGTCTAGAGACAAATAGCAATGAAAGACAAGTAATAAAATTCTAACTCAATTAGTGATAGAAAAATAACTTCTCTTGAGATCCAGCTGTTCCTGTCCTGTGAGAAGATCACTGCCTAGAGACAATAACCGGGCCAGTGCCATCACTATCCACATCTTAAGAAAGGTCAGCTCTAACATTTCTCCTCTGGTCTTTCTCAAGCCTGAGTAGAGGCTAAAGTCTTAGGGGCAGGAGGGCTTCCTGAGTCCCCTTTGTAGGCCCTTCCATCTCCCAAATAAAGATGCCATTCATATTTCCCTTTCTGTGTGTGGCCTCAATGGCTTTAATTCAACTCCATAGAGGTTTCAAAATCCCCAGCTCTAATTTCAATTAACAGCCCTGCTTTCTCTCTCAGCCTGGGCTGGGGCTTCAGAATCCATTCCTAATCCCTACATTAGCCCTGATTCATCTGTTTCATGAGCATTATCAGCATCCCCCCTGGGAAAGATGAGGAAAGAGGATCTTACAGCAGGATAAATACCATTTGTTTATGTTGATTCCTTATTCGGAGCTCTGATTGCCTCATTTCCCCCCTTTTTTCTTTCTTTTTTCTTTTTTTTTTTGTTAATGTTGTTGCAACAATTATTATTAATTTCTCTGTGTTTGCACTGGGATTTATGCTAACAGGAAAAGAATGGTAACAGAGCGTCAAACTTTATAATTGGGTGGGGATGGGAAATAGAAAAGGAGGAGGGATAGGGCTATTTTAAGATTTTAGTAGAGAAGGCAAGGTGTTTCTTGGCAGATGTCTATATCAGCTTTTGCACTGTGCATTAGTTGGGAAGTTGCGATTATCCATAGCTTTCTATTCCAAAGGCAGCATACATCAGCACCAATATGCGAAAATTTCATATAGTTCATTTTTTAAAAAATCAGAACTTACCAGCATTTATAAGGCTCTTCTGTAAAAAGGCTGGAAAGAGCTACAGGTGTTTTTATTTCATTAAAAAAAAAAGATGGTAGAAAATGAAACTGAGAGGTTTGTCCATTCAGGTTTTGAGTGCTGGCCTCTTAAAAATCTGGCTTTCAATGTAAGGATGTTTAACCATGTTTTCTGATGCAGAAATAGTCACCGCTTCTTTTATTTAACAATTATATGGCTAGCAGGGTCAATATGGTCCTCTCCATGCTCAGAATAAGTTGTAACTGTTTTGATAAAAACTTTATAAATAGGATGGAAAGTGCTTGACATTTTAAAAAAGGAAGCAGAAAGTGAAACTGACATGGTTGTCCATTCCCAGTCATCATTTATTTCAACCTTCATTCATTTGTATCATACTCTCCAACTATTCCAATTTGGCAGGGAAAGTCCCAATTAAGCCTCTGTCACCCCACTTTTGTAACTGCTTTTAAAATTACCCTGCTTCTGTCTCCTCTCCCTTTGTCCTCTACTTATTTCAGATGTTACAAAATGATTTCAATGCAAACATAGTTTGTACTCAACTAACTTAGGAGGAGGGAAGAAGAGAGGAGGGTGCAGAGTCTTGGTCTTCCCAGTAGGCTCAGGCAAAACCAAACAGCAGATTCTCCTGGCTTGTGTGTTCTTCCTCATTAATAACTTTTGCCATTTTGACCACACTCTGATGTAGCTTGACCACATGCATCCCAGTTTCCAACTGTGAAATGTTCAAGTCATTTCCTGCTTAAGGCAATCCTAAGGAGTTTTCTTGGCAAGATTTGTGCAGAGGAGGTTTACCATTGCCTTCCTCTGAGGCTGAGAGCATGTGACATGCCCAAGGACTTGAACCTTGGTCTCCAGAGTTGTAGTCCAATACTCAAATCATGATGCCATGCTGGCTCTCTAAGTGAGCAAAGAGGAATCAGTTCCATAAGGAGCAATTATACTGAAAAATGCATAATCTTGTTGGCTGCTAGGAGGAGCAGGGAAATTGGAACATAGGTCCAAGCAGAGGTAGAAGAGATTTTTTTTTTCTGGTGGACTGGTGGAAATCCTGGAAGAAGCACAGTGTACAACAACATTTTGTGACAGGTTCCACTTGTGTTCTTTCATGACAAATATTTATTTATTTTGAATATAGGGTCTTTTACCACAGGGCACCATGAAGTCATGTTAGAAGTAGCAGCCAATAAAATTGGATGAGTTCCCATAGCCAATAGAAGTAAAAAACAATGTGAGACTAGGGGCCTTTGCAGACTGCCAGAAATAGTGCTAGGGAGTCATGGGAATTGTTTTTTTTTTCCTCCCCTGAGACATTGAGCCTTCTCTGTCAGGGGGCTCTGGTGCCACAATAAAATACAGTTCCCATGATTCCCTAACCCTAACCCTAACCCTTAAAGTGGACTCAATTTGCACTATTTCTAGCAGTCTGCAAAGGCCCTAAGACAGGCTGAAGGTGGTAAATGTGAAATACAGTAGTACTCCAGAAAACCACATCAGAACAATGTCATTGTGTTCACAATATTTGTGGGTGGATAAAGTAATGTGTGTCAAGAATGGCAGAAAATGGAAGTACTTTTATTGCTCACAGAAAATAAGTGGTTTCATTGCTTCTTTCCCATATACTCCATTCCTCTAAATGGCCCTTAATGATCTTAGATACCATAAAGCCATTGATGTCCTTATTAATTTGTACATGCTTTGCTGTCAGCTTCCGAGGATCCCCACTGTGTTCCATGATCATTTAAAAGCATGGGATCTTATGGACAGTGGCCCCGAAAATATGAAATTCACTCTCTGTTCCTCCCTATCCCATGTTTAGATGGGCAATCTAGACTTGTATTTCTATCAGCCTAAAGGTTCTTGTTGCTGAAATGTTTTTGAATTTGTCTGCCTCAGGGTTGTTTTTCAATATATTATAATTGGTTTACTCTAATAATAATAACTTTTAGAGGAGATAATGCCTGCCTGCTTGCTTGTTTAAATACCACACACACATACACACACACTTGGACTAGATGTTGGCTTTGCTGTTTTTGATGTTTTGGAATTCTTAAAAATAGTTACAGAGAAAATTAGAACAGAGATCTATTGAATTAAAACCAGCACCGTCTAAATATCTCTATCTATCTATCTATCTATCTGTCTGTCTGTCTGTCTGTCTGTCTATCTATCTATCTATAGTCAGTGTGGCTTATGGGTTTAACCATTGGGGTAAAACTCTGGAGATCAGGGTTCAGTTACCTGCTTGGCCATGGAAACCCATTGGATGACTGTGGGTGAGTCACACATTCTCAACCCCAGAAAACCTAGTGATAGATTTGCCTTGCTGCTGTTATTGTTATGTGCCTTCAAGTCATTTTCAATTTATGGAGACTCTGTCACAGGGTTTTGTTTTTTTTTGGCAAGATTTTGTCAGAGGGAGGGTTGGCATTGCCATCATCTGAGGCTCAGAGAGTGTGACTTGCCCAAGGTCAACCCAGTGAGTTTCCATGGCCGAGCTGGGATTCGACCCCTGGCCTCCAGAGTTGTAGTCCTATGCTTAAACCACTACACTACATTGGCTCTCTTTATGGTCGCCAGAAGACAGAAATGACTTGAGAGATCATAAAAAACACACTTCCTCTCACACACCAGACAGTGAATTTTCTGGTAGCCCTATCTACAGATTGCCACTATGATTGTAAAAAGAAGGGAATGCAGGCTGTGTTACTGTAGCAAGAACTACAGGAGCCAAAGCAACAGTTGCATTCTGTCTACAGTATCCCTGTAACCAGCAGATAAGTAATAAATAAGTAAAAGGAACCTGTATGGGTTCCTTTTAATTTCAGCTGGGTCTATTCAGGTTGCCATAGCTGTTACTCCAATCCCTTCACCCTGGGGTCTCTGGCTGAAGGTGAAAGCAATCTTGTTCTCTGTTTGAGGCTCGGGGCTTCATTCGTATTGATTTATTCAAGGGGCAGATACCAGCGGTGGAAGAGAGAGAAAGAAATACTCCTCGCCACCGCCAGTACTGAGCATTTCTGTATGTGGAATACCAAGTGGGAAGATGCCTCATCTGTTAAGGGCTGCTCCAAGGCTTGCTCTGTAGCGTCCCTGTTGTATTGAAATGAAGGAGTGGAACACAAAACAGAAAGGGTCATCTTGGGGAAGATGAAAACCTCAGAATCAATTAGCAGCTATGGATTACTCAAAAGCAGCGCTGGCTGCCTGTTTCTGTTGTCTCTGTTCTTTCCCCATCTTTTCCAGTAGCTTCAAGCCCTAGGCTATGGCGAAGAAGAAAAGAAGCCAATGTGCTTTCTTTGTGCCAAGAGGTGTTGACCCAGTTCACCAAGGGCAGCCAGAGTTACTCTTTGCCTGGAGGCAGTGTGAGAGGAGGCCTTCAGGGTTGCTCTGCCATCAAACCAAGTGTTGGGCTTTGCTTTATCTTACCTGGATCTGCTGAAGGTTATATGAGAGTTGTGGAATGTGAATGAGCTGGAGGGGAGCTCCCCAGAGAGGTTCAGGGAGGTTGTGTGTGTGTATGTGCACACATTTTTTCTCCTCCTCTTGCCACTAATGAAACCTTACTGTTGACAGGTTCCGCTGTCTGTGTCAATACACCTAAAGACTTTGTGTGTGTTTGGGAAGGGAGGGAATTGAATGCTGTGGAACTGGCCTCTTTCTCAAATGGGACTGCTTTAATTGTCACTGAATAAAAGGGATGGAAGAGGATGAAAGAATAATAGACTGAGGGGATCTCATTTATTTCTGACTGTGCACTGCTTTCCACAACCTGTATGTGTCCCAAGCAGGAAGAATACATCTTTCATGTTAATGATTGTTCATTATTTTTGTCTTTATTTGTATCACATCTTTTATCCTGGGACTCTAGGCATCTTACAAAAATTAAACCAGATACAGATAAAGTTGACCTCATTGAAAGTGCACACAAGCAGAAATATAGAATGAAATGCAGTTAAAAACAATTTGAGTTAACCGAGTACAAATTAATTTTGCACTGAAATCAATTCCTATTTAAAAGCAACAAATACAGATAATGCAGCACATTTTTAGAAGCACATTTCCTAAAGGCTTGTTGAAATAAGGGGGAAGGGGGAGGAGGCTTCATCTTTCTGCCAGAAGGACCCTTTGGAGGCAGCCTGTCTAATCTGTCCAGATTAAGAATTCCAGAGCCTTGGAGCATACACCAAGAAGACCCTTCCTTGTGTACTTTTGAAGGTGGTGGGATGGAGAGAAGAAGCTCCTTTGACAAACTCAAACCCCAGACAGTTTTATATGGGAGAATATAATGTTTCAGATAACCTGGACCTGAGCCTTTTTTAGCTTCAGAGATTTTAACTAGCACACACCTACTGGATTAACTTTGTTCACCATTCACACTGCAGAAGACAGTACAATCTTGCTTTAGGCAGACCTTGAAAATGTTATTTTCTGTTCCCAAGTACAATTTGCTTTCTTTATCCTTTATTCTGAGCAGACACAAGGGTGGGGGCTTCAGTCACTATAAAATCCAGGTTCTTCTGGCACTGTGTTCAACCGATTGGTCTCAAGTTTTATCTCAATCTGTGTTGGATTTGAAGTATATTTGAGACAAAGGCCTTCCCATTTATTCTGTATTATTAGGTTCATCTCTGCCCTTGTACCTTTTTGAGTTGGCAGTTGTTTTATCTCTTCTCTTGCTCCCTCTGTAGAAGAAGGTGGAAGTTCAAACAGAAAGGATAATAAATAAACCAAAAGAACAAAATGGAATTCAAGGCACATTGCCTTTTGGGACTCAGAGTATGTCAAACCGAGAGGTATTCACAAATGGAGAGGAGAGCAGGAAACAATTGTGCCTTGGAATATTTGGGGAACGTGTTGTCTCTCTGCTTATACTTCTGTGCTAACAGATTATGTGCTTATATTTTTTTTCCTCATCGGCTCAGTCACCGATGGCAGTAATAGAGTTTCTGTGTACTATTTCATGCACAACATTAGCAACCTGGAGCAGAAAAATCAATGTGTATGTTTGTTGGACTGAGGAAAGAGTATAAAAGACCTTGTACAAAAAGAAATGGAGTACTTAGCAAGGGTGGAGGGAGGAAACCAAATAACGTAACTACTATGAGTTGGGTCATAAATGCTATGGAATGGATACAGACATCATTGGGCTTAGAGTAGAATCCTTGAAATCAATGAGATGCACACTAAGTATGACTGAATTGGTTACTTGTGATTGAATGGTCTCCTTCTTTAGGGGCATTGGGGAAACAAACCCCATTCAAAATGTGTGTCCCTTAAGTCAATGATGGCTGTTAGCTTCAACATCATTGTGCCGATAAGTCAACTCTGGGTTTTAGTTCAAACTTCAGTGGAGTATCCAAGGTGCTGAACCCATTTTTGGAATAGTCCAAGGTTCAGTCTAAACCAAGAATTAATTTATTACCTCCTTTACATGGAAGCCCTCAGCATTTGCAAGTACAGAAATCTTCACATATGTTGTTGTTGCATGCAAGAAAAAAGATCCAACAGATTTATCCCCACTGGGTGAGATTACAAGTGGGATGTTGCACATTTTGGGATTTTTTTTAAATTGTAAATTAGGACCTTTTTGAACCAACATTTTACAAAGCATTTTTGGCATAAAAATAATATTTTTGTCCTCTGCCACCAATCTTAATTTCCTTTCACTTCCAAGTCCAAAAAATGTAAAATAAAAGTAAAAATCCAATGACCGTTGACATATGTTTTTTATAGTGTCTCAGCATTGTGATATCTTTTTCCATCTTTTCCCATTAAGAACAGAATACATACACACACATACTTTTATACCCCTACCTGAAAGTCCCTTGAGCAGTTTCACATCTCTAAGACACTTGAAATCAAGTAGTCATGGAAATAAGTTGGCCAAGAAAAGAGATTTTTCTCAAAACTTAGGAATAATTTATTTAGTGTAAGAACTGTTCAACAGTAAAATAGACTATTTCAAAAGATGGTGGACTCACTGAGGTCTTTAAACAATTGTTGGATGGTCATCTCTCAGAAGTGCTTTAGTTGTGTGCTCCCTTGTGGCAGGGATTGGATAGGATGGTGCTGGCCATCCCTTCTATCTCTATGATTCTATAAAGATTTTTTTTTTGTGTGTGTGTAGGATTGTGCTTTGTGCAAATAGCAAAGCGTTCCATCCATTACAAATACATGGATTATATTGTCAGAACAATGCATCCAATGCAAACTAGGTTGGAATGAATGGGAAGAATGAAGAAATACTACTATTTTAGGTGAACTTTCTGGTGGATTATGCGCCCCCACCTCCAAAATCATGTATCCAGGGAGAAGGCCTACATGTTGGAGATAATGCACCTGGGGATTGCATTACAGGATGATGTCATTAAGTATGAAAAATGAATCTTGGTGTAAGGCCTTTTCTTTGAAAGATAAGTCTTTTTATTTCACAATTCCTTGCCTCCCACTAATATAAACATTTTTATACACTGTTTTTGAGTCATAACTGCATTACTAAGTTTCAAAAAGTATACACCCCAAGGGTGAATTTTTACAGTCTGCATACTAATCTAGGAAATATGAATTAGTTTAAATTCTTTTTTAAATGGGGTCAAAATTAAATTCCACACTATCTCTTATCTACTACCCAAAACAGTTTTCTCCCCATTTTGGGACCACCTGACATCCTTATTCAAATTCCCTCATTGGCTTCCTACAGCCATACAGCACAAATTCTTTGCCTCTTCTTTCAAAGTTCCCAGCGGCTTTGCAAAAATCCTTCCCCTTCATTCCCTTCCCTTCCATTATTTTGAGATATGTCTTTGTCATGGAGTCTGCCAAAAGGTCTCCTCCTCTCCATTCAATCCCTTGGGCTCTCTCTTTTGGCTGGTACAGTAACCATCAGCCCCCCCTTTTCTCCATAAAACTAATCTTCTCCTTGAAACGTTTGGTTTAATTCTCTTTATCTTGACTTGACTATAACCAAGCCTGTACAACAGAGTTTATCCATCACCCACTTTAGTATCTCTTCCTTCCTTCTTTTGCATTTCTAATTGTCATCATTTAAATAGTAAATTCTTTGTGGTCAGATCTCTTCTTGTTTACATTACTTTGGAAAAGAGCAATAGTGCAGCGTTAATAGGTAGTTTTATTCTAATTATGAATTGTAAAATGAGCTGAAAGAACTTGAGTTGACTGAAGAAGGGGGAAGAGTGCCTCCCTTTTCCCACCCCTTTGGTCCCTTTATCTCTTGTGTGTGAGTGAAATGCAAGATCTCTAAATCTCTGTAATTGGTACCCAGATACTCTGGTGATGAGTGCCTTAGAAATGTATCTGCAGTAATAATCTAATATCTCTATGTTAGGGCTCTGAGGAAATCTAATAATACCAATGCTTTGCCTAATCGAGAGATCCTTTCATCCCCGAGATAGAGCAGCAGGAGATAAAGATGTAGCAAGAGCTACTTCAGGTTGTAAGCTTTCTCCTTCCTGTTAATGGTTGATCTCAAGGTATTTTTGTAGTCATTGAATAATTAAATAGCAGTTAGAGGACTGAGTCCTCTGAGGAAGCAGTCTTCC